AAAAAGTAATAATAATAATAATAATAATAATAATAATAATAATAATATAATAATAATAATAATGTTGGAAGGGTCCTTAGAGGTCATCTAATCCAACCCCCTGCTCAGGCAGGAAACCCTATACCATTTCAGACAAATGGCCGTCCAGTTTCTTCTTAAAAACTTCCAGTGTTGGAGCATTCACCACTTCTGGAGGCAGGTTGTTCCACTGGTTAATTGTTCTAACTGTCAGGAAGTTTCTCCTGAGTTCTAGGTTGACTTCCAACTCCTTTTGGTGCAGTAGAATAATAGCATCAAACCTCAACTATTTACTTTTTATATAATCATATAAACTAGCCATTTCTATAACAACAAACGTATCTAATCGGCAAAACCCAAAACCAAAGTTTCATATTTTTTTCCCCACCTCGATCACAAAATCCAGAAGCCGTTCCCAAGTAGAAACAAAAGTAATTGTGGGTTTTTCCCCCCCCTTTAATCAGAGCGGTCGTTTTAGCCATCTCTGCTAACTCTTTTATCAACTTTGGCAGCCCTCCGTCTATTGTGGGTTACGCCCTCTCCTTTAAGAACACTGCAGTTCCGGCCCACTCAACATCTTGGAGGTGTGAGAATGGCCCACCTCCTTCCAGATTTTTGCAAAGAGACTTCTTTGAGCGACGAAGGTGGCCTTTGGGCCAGCAACAGGAACAGTAGGCAGAAAGTGAAGGAGGAGATCCAAGGGGAAGGGACGGCCGGCTTAGAAGCCCAACGCTTGCACTTCAGGCACTTTGGCTACCAAGACGCCGACGGCCCCCGAGAGGTGTGTAACCATCTCTGGGAACTTTGCAACCTGTGGCTGAAACCCGAAAGGCACACCAAAGAACAGATCCTCGAACTGGTGGTCCTGGAGCAATTCCTGACCGTCCTGCCCCCAGAAATCCAGAACTGGGTCCGAGATGTCCAGCCAGGGAATTGCACCCAGGCGGTGTCCTGGGCGGAAGATTTCCTGCTGAGACGGCGACAGGAGGAGAGTCAGAAAGAGCCAGTGAGTATATTTGACCCCGGCCGTTTCATCGAAATTGTGGTGTAGATCAGTGTTTCTCAAGCTGGGCAACTTAGCTGGCTGAGGAATTCTGGGAGTTGAAGTCCACACACCTTAAAGTGGCAGAGTTTGAGAAACGGTCTAGATCAGGGGGTCTCCAACCTATGGGCTGCGGCCCACTACTGGGCCGTGGACTCTTAGCCAGTGGGCCACGGAAATGGGTGGCCGGCGCACGCACACATGCATGCGCACTTCCCCCCCACTCGCGCTAGCACCCGTGGCCCCGTTTGTGCATGTACGCGGGCGTGAATGGGGCCTCTAGCGCCAGGCGGGTCTGCACAGCCCGTTTGTGCAGGCACGAACAGGGCCGCTAGTGCCGGGTGGGTGTGTGTGGCTCCATTTGCATGTGGGCTCACCAGTTTGGAAGCTGCTCTCCTTTCCTCCGGGCTGTGAGCCTGGAAAGGTCGGAGATCACTGGTCTAGATAGCTATGCTGGGCGTGTAGATAGCCTAATTCTTCCCTCTCTCTTCCTGTTACTATTTTCAATTGCTTGGAGATTTTCTCCTTGCAAGAAGCCTTGTTGTTGTTAGTTGCGAAGTCGTGTCCGACCCATCGCGACCCCATGGACAACGTTCCTCCAGGCCTTCCTGTCCTCTACCATCTTCTGGAGTCCGTTTAAGCTCACGCCTACTGCGTCAGTGACTCCATCCAGCCACCTCATTCTCTGTCGTCCCCTTCTTCTATTGCCCTCCATCTTTCCCAGCATCAGGCTCTTCTCCAGTGAGTCCTTCCTTCTCATTAGGTGGCCAAAGTACTTGAGTTTCAGCTTCAGGATCTGGCCTTCTAAAGAGCAGTCCGGGTTGATCTCCTCTAGGACTTACCGTCTTTTTAAGATAGCCTGCTCCTGAAACGTGTCGGTTAATTTTGACTGCTTGCTCTGTGATTCCTGGACTTCCATTGCAGAGGATGAGACTCTTCAAAGAAGAGACGGTCTGTTTTCAGGAAGCTGATGAAGCGTCGTCTGATTCCTGGCAGAAGATCATTTTAGGCAAAATCAAACAGGAGGAGGAAGAGGAGGATGTCGCATCTCTGGGTAAGGGGCTCCCTTCTGTAGCCATGACTGTCTGGGGTGGCTTGATTGTGGCTTCTTTTGTTTGAAGATTAGCAGATTTGCTAACCTGGACAATTATGTTTTATTCAGTAGACAAATCATAGCTTAGGGCAGTGATGGCGAACCTTTTAGAGACCGAGTGCCCAAACTGCAACCCAAAACCCACTTATGTATTGTCGGGTGCCGGGTGGGCGTGGCCCATTGGGTGGGCGTGGCTGTGGTGGTAACGGCAGACTGAGTGGGACTAAAAAGTTCAATCAATAAATTCCAACTTTGCGAGATCTATTTTTTCCCCACGAGAAATTGATATGATTGATTGAACCTTTTTTTTTTTGCACACGGCGGCAGAGGCCTAAAGCGAAAAGGTTTTATAAAACCCAGCTGAAGGCCTAGGACTGGGGCAATGGCGCACGTGCCCACAGAGAGGACTCTGCGTGCCACCTGTGGCATGTGTGCCATAGGTTCGCCACCACGGGCTTAGGGGTCTTCAAACTTGGCCCTTTTATGACTTGTGGACTTCAATTCCCAGAATTGGCTGAGGAATTCTGGGAGTTGAAGTCCACGAGTCGTAAAAGGGCCAAGTTTGAAGACCCCTGGTTTAGAACAAGGATCTCCAAATGTGGCAGCTTTAACTGGACTTCAACTCCCACAATTCCTCAGCCAGCCAGCATTAGCTTGTCTTTGCTTCAACCGTCGTAAATATGAATCGGTTGCTGAGCGTCGGAATTTAGATCACGCGACCCTGGGGATGCCATAAGCGTGAAACACAAGTCATAAGCCATTTTTGTCAGTGCTGTTGTAATTTCAGTGACTAAACAAACTGTTTTAAGTCGAGGATTGCCTGGACTTTGGTTATACTCCTTCCCAGGACTCAATCCTCTTTTATCCGATCAGTGCCTGGGTAGTAGCTCTCACTTCTATCCCTCAATGCCATTCCCTTTGTCTTCCGTGTTGGGTTTGATTTTCGGAGTTATCTATCTGTCATACGTATCAAACCACAGACCTATTTTGCAGGTCTTGAACCTCTAAGCAAAAACCATCCTTAACTCCATTTGTTGGGAAAGGTATCGTTTACTAAAAGGTCCAGTGAAGTGCAGTAGAGCAGGGGTTCCCAACTTCCAGTCTGTGGACCAGTACCGGTCCGCGGCATGCCAGCAACCAGTCCGAAAAAACAAGCAAAGCCCCATCCGCGGGATGCAGGCAGCACACAAAACCACACGCCCCTCCGGTCCGCGGAAAAACCTCTCTCCACGCAACCGGTCCCTGGTGCCCAAAAGGTTGGGGACCTCTGCAGTAGAGCAAAACCACAACTGAAAATTGCACACCAAAATTCCCAAGTGTAACTTTCCCTCCCTTAAGTGCTTCCCATTGCTTGCCCCCCAATGTCCAATGAAATTCAAAGAAGAGGTTTTTGGGTTGGGATAGGATAGGATAGGATAGGATAGGATAGGATAGGATAGGATAGGATAGGATAGGGCCTGGAGGAACGTTGTCCATGGGGTCGCGATGGGTCAGACACGACTTCGCAACTAACAACAATAGGATAGGATAGGATAGGATAGGATAGGATAGGATAGGATAGGAGGTCATCTAGTCCAACCCCCTGCTCAGGCAGGAAATCCTATACCATTTCAGGCAAATGGCTGTCCAGTCTCTTCTTAAAAACTATCCACAGCTTCTAGAGGCAGGTTGTTCCACTGGTTAATTGTTCTAACTGTCGGGAAGTTTCTCCTTAGTTCTAGTTTGCTTCTCTCCTTGATTAGTTTCCATCCGTTGCTTCTTGTCCTGCCTTCAGGCGCTTTGGAGAATAGCTTGACTCCTTCTTCTTTGGGGCAGCCCCTGAGATATTGGAACACGGCTATCATGTCCCCCCTCGTCCTTCTCTTCGTTAAACTAGACCAACGATGGCAAACCTTTTAGAGACCGAGTGCCCAAACTGCAACCCAAAACCCACTTATGCATTGTTGGGTGCCTGGTGGGTGTGGCCCATTGGGTGGGTGTGGCCCATTGGGTGGGCGTGGCTGCAGTGGTAACGGCGGACTGGGTGCGACTAAAGAGTTCAATCAATCAATTCCAACTTTGCAAGATCTTTTTTTTTCCCATGAGAAGTTGAAATTGACTGATTGATTGAACCTTTTTTTTTTGCACATGGCGGCAGAGGCCTAAAGCAAAAAGGTTTTATAAAACCCAGCTGAAGGCCTAGGACTGGGGCAATGACGCGCATGCCCACAGAGAGGGCTCTGAGTGCCCCCTCTGCACCCGTGCCATAGGTTCGCCACCACTGAACTAGACATACTGAATTCCAGCAACCGTTCCTTATGTGTTTAGCCTCCAGTCCCCTAATCATCTTTGTTGCTCTTCTCTGCACTCAAAGTGTGGGTTGGTGTACAACTGCATTCCATTCCCAGCTAGTTGACCCTGAAGCCATGTCTCTGGCAGATACAACAAACTGTTTGTTATCCCCAAATCCTCCCCCCCCTCCCACCTTCTCCCCGGAGTTCATGGCAAAGTGGCACCAAACGAAGCGAAGCGCAAGCGTGAGGTGGCGGTTCTGACAGTTTAGATCAGAGACTGACCCCGATCTCGTCTCCTCCCCGACAGGTGGTGAGCAAGTGCCTGAGGAGGCCTCGGAGAATTCTTCAGAACCAGGATCACAGGGGATTCTCTGCAGAAGAGCTGATCAGCATAGGTCCCGTACGCCTGAACCAGAGGAAGCCTCTGAAAGCCAGCCAGGAGGCTACATGGAAAAGAGGAAAGACGGCCTTATTGCCACTTCACTAAGTTTCCAGCAGGCCAGGGGAGACAGAGGTGGAGTCCAGCCCAGGATCCAAGACGAGCGATTGAAAAAATGCCTGGACTGTGGGAAAGGCTTTGTGTGGCCCTCCGAACTGATCGAACACCGGCGGTCGCACACGGGTGAGCGGCCCTATTCCTGCGTGCACTGCGGCAAGAGCTTCAGCCGCAAGTCCTACATTATAAAGCACGAGCGGATCCACACGGGCGAGAAGCCCTACATTTGCGCCCACTGCGGCAAGGGCTTCGTTTCTAAATCAGACCTCATCAAGCACGAACGGACCCACACGGGCGAGAAACCTTACCTCTGCTCCGACTGCGGGCGCAGCTTCAGCAGGAAGCAGTTCCTGGTGAGCCATCGGAGGACACACACCGGGGAGAAGCCGTACAAGTGCACCGAGTGCGGCAAGAGCTTCAGCCAGCGGACGTGTCTGGTCATCCACGAGAGAGCCCATACCGGCGAGAAACCGTTCCAGTGCCCGGTGTGCGGGAAGAGCTTTGGGAGAAGGGATATTCTCGTGACACACCAGAAACTCCACGCCCGAGGAAAGGCTTTGCGGTGCTCCGAGTGGCCGTGAAATGGCTACTTCACCGAGCACAGGACACGTGGGGCCTCCATCCGCAAATGTGCTTGGGAAGGGATTAAAAGTGGAGAATGGAGAGGGGTGCATGTAAGTGTAGGAGATAGATGCTTGGATTGTAATTCAAGAAAGAGGAGCGATGTAAAAATTCTAGTTCAGGTGTTGTGATTCCGTGCCAGCCTGTGATCCCGGTAGTTGAGTCTGGGGAATCAGAGGAGGAGGAGGAGCCTGGAGAGCCATCAGAGTCGGAGGGAGGCTCTGATGAGCTGCAGGACTTACAGACTGATGAAGAGGCATGTCCTTCCACTCGTGATCAAGCTGAGAGCCAGCAGTGGTGGGAAGCTGAGTTGGACTCGGAGGAAGCACAGCTGGAAGACCTCAGAGACGCTCGTAAACGTAGACAGGTCACACGAGTAGGACAGAGGGAGGCAATGGGATGACTCCAGGGGAAGAGGAGAAAGCAGTGAGAAGCCACGCCTTGGGGGCTGCATAACAAAAAGGGAATGTGTGGGCAGGGCTGGTTGCTGGAGGCAACCGTTTGCAAAGAACCTCGGTGTCAAGAGATCATGGTCTGTTTATTTTGCTTGTGAGTTATTTCCTGTTTGACTCTGTGCTCCGTTTTGGAAAAAGTGTTCTGTTGCTTTTGTTTTTCTGGGACAATTATCAGATCTGTAACTCAAATAAAAAGGGTTTATTTTCCAGTCTACTGTTCAAAGAGGGGTTGCCTTTGTGAAGTGACAAGGACGTGCGTAGGCTGGCACAGAACATCAGGAGTGGACAACGATGGCCCCTTTATGAGCTGTGGACTTCAACACCCAGAATTTCTGAGCCAGCCATGTTGGCTCAGGAATTCTGGGAGTTGAAGTCCACAGCTCGTAAAGGGGCCATCCATCGTTCCCCACCCCTGCTCTGATTGGAGGGAGATACAGCTCCTGTAGCATTTTGTAGCATTAGGTATCTACAATCAGATACAGGTAGTCCTCAACTTACGACAGGGGTGTCAAACTCAATTTCACTGAGGGCCGCATCAGCATTGTGGTTGTCCTGGGGGGGGCGGGGGTGTGTGACCAGGGTGGGTGCGGCCTACTGGGTACACGCAGGAATCTGAAAAATTACCGGTTCCACAAAGAGGAATTTAGGGTGTTTTTACTCTTCTTATTAAGATAGCAGGCTTCCGTGTTTACATCCTTTTTTTTGACTTTCAGTAATCCAAATAACTAGCTGCATTGTGGGAAATTAAAATGACCCCTTCACAAATATAAAAAAGATGCTGAGACTCTGGAAAGAGTGCAGAGAAGAGCAACAAAGATGATCAGGGGACTGGTGGCTAAAACATCTAAGGAACGGTTGCTGGAATTGGGTGTGTCTAGTGTCAACGCTGCAAATACTGTATATTCTTGCTTTGACAATATGCAGAACTGTCTGGTATTTTTATAGTTAAATTAGGCAACAGTGAAATCCCGGGGAAAAGAAACTGGAAGTAAATCACATCTTCCAAGTTAATTGGAAGATGTGAACCATGACCCCAAAATAGAGGCAGGGAAAAATGCTTGGAATTTATGTACAACGGAAAAGGATCCAGATCTAAGCATTTCCACCATGCCGTACTGACGTCTCTGTAACCTTAATAAATGCTTTCAGGAAAAAATATGCCTGAAAGTCCTTTTAAGTGTTTCGTTAATCAGACACATGACATCTAGTTTAATGAAGAGAAGGATGAGGGGTGACATGATAGCAGTGTTCCAATATCTCAGGGGCTGCCACAAAGAAGAGGGAGTCAAGCTATTCTCCAAAGCGCCTGAAGGCAGGACAAGAAGCAAGGGATGGAAACTAACCAAAGAGAGAAGCAACCTAGAACTAAGGAGACATTTCATGACAGTTAGAACAATTAACCAGTGGAACAACCTGCCTCCAGAAGTTGTGGGTGCTCCAACACTGGAGGTTTTTAAGTAGAGATTGGACAACAATTTGTCTGAAAACATATAGGGTTTCCTATTTGAACAGGGCGTTGAACTAGAAGACCTCCAAGGTCCCTTCCAACTGTTATTCTGTTATTCTGTAAAATGTAATGCAGTAAGGAGATCAAAACATTGGGGCCAATGGGCCCTTTGGGATTTTGCAAGCATCTAGCAGCAGCATTAACGAACCAACTGCTGTATTGAGCCCAGCCTGTTCCCACACAGCCCTGTCCCCGAAGACAAGTGAGCCTCCACGTCAGCATCTTATTAATCCAGCAGGAATTTTATGAGTTGAAAGTTATCTTCTGCAATTAAGTATGTATTAACTTGCTAATCCTTTGCTATACGGCCGGTCGTTCTCCTCCTCCTCGACCTAACATATGTACCTAAATTCCCAGCACAATATTCTCTTTCAGGCTAATGTTTTGCAGCGCCCAGAAAAGAAGAAATAGGATGAAATTAGAAGGAAGAAAAGGAAACAAAGGAGGCAACTGGACTTCCTTGTTTTTTAATAATAATAATAATAATAATAATAATAATAATAATAATAATAATAATAATAATAATAATAATAATAATAATAATAATAATAATGAAGTTGGAAGGGACCTTGGAGGTCATCAAGTCCAACCCCCTGCTCAGGCAGATAACCCTATACCATTTTGGACAAATGGCTGTCCAGTTTCTTCTTAAAAACTTCCAGTGTTGGAGCATTCACTGCTTCTGGAGGCAGGTTGTTCCACTGGTTAATTGTTCTAACTGTCAGGAAGTTTCTCCTTAGTTCCAGGTTGCTTCTCTCCTTGATTAGTTTCCACCCGTTGCTTCTTGTCCTCTTTGAAGACATTTCGCTTCTCATCCCAAAAGCTTCTTCAGCTCTGACTGGATGGTGGGGAAATGGAAGGATTGCAGGCAGCTAGTCATGTGCATTCTTTTAGAGCAGGGGTGGGGCACCTTGGCTCTTTGATGACTTGTGGACTTCAATACCCAGAATTCCTGAACCAGCCATGCTGACCCAGGAATTCTGGGAGTTGAAGTCCACAAATCATCAAAGAGCCAAGGTGCCCCACCCCTGTTTTAGAGAGTCATTGAGGCCATCTGGAGGTTTACCTGTTCCTCAGGGTCACCTGAGTAGGGCAAATGTGTGTGGAGCCTTCTTTGCTGAAGGATGTTTCCTGCCCTGGGTCCCTTCACTGTTGAAGACAGGCACAGGTTGTTGGGGTTAAGTCTGAGTTGTCTGCATCTCAAATTGAAGCGGAAATGGTTCCTGTAGTCTGCAATGTTTCTGGGAAATCCGTTCATACTCCCTCACCATTCGAAGGGTGCTCATCCCAAATTGCCTAACTGTCTATATAGATTCTCAATCATCCTGACAAATGGTTGTCCAGTCTTTTCTTAAAAACTTCCAGTGTTGGAGCATTCACTGCTTCTGGAGGCAGTTTGTTCCACTGATTAATTGTTCTAACTGTCAGGAAATTTCTCCTTAGTTCTAGGTTGCTTCTCTCCTTGCTTAGTTTCCATCCGTTGCTTCTTGTCCTGCCTTCAGGCACTTTGGAGAATAGCTTGACTCCCTCTTCTTTGTGGCAGCCCCTGAGATACTGGAATACTGCTATCATGTCCCCCCTCGTCCTTCTCTTCATTAAACGAGACATACCCAATTCCAGCAACCGTTCCTTATATGTTTTAGCCTCCAGTCCCCTGATCATCTTTGTTGCTCTTCTTTATACTCTTTCTAGAGTCTCAACCTTTTTTACATCGTGGTGACCAAAACTAGATGCAGTATTCCAAATGTGGCCTTACCAAGGCATTGTAAAGTGGTATTAATACACTTCATGTGATCTTGATTCTATCCCTCTGTTAATGCAGCCTAGCACTGTGTTGGCTTTTTTGGCAGCTGCAGCACACGGCTGGCTCCTATTTAAGTGATTGTCCATTAGTCTCCGAGATCCCTCTCACTTTCCCTCTCCCTTTCCATCCATTCAGTCTCTATCATATGTTCTTTTGAGAGTTAATTCTGATGGTCCTGATCATCAAAGTTACAGGTAGTGCTTGACTTGCAACATCGCTTAGTCCAGGGGTAGGCAACCTCGGCTCTTTTATGACTCATGGACTTCAACTCCCAGAATTCCTGAGTCAGCATGGCTCAGTTTGGAAACCTCTCCCTTTCCCCTCAGCATGGCTGGATCAGGAATTCTGGGAGTTGAAGTCCATGAGTCATAAAAGAGCCGAGGTTGCCTACTCCCGGCCTATTCACTGGACAGAGCTACAATTGGCCTCCTCAAAACTACTTATGACCCAGTTTCAAAGTTCCAACAGCCCCTCCTCATAGTCATGTGATCACTTTTGGGGCAACCGGCTTGGCAAATGGTTTTTTGGGGGGAAAAACCTCCACTGGCTAAAATGGGTTTGCTTAATGACCATTGCACACAAGGTCATAAAATCTGATGCAGTCCCATGGTGACCTGCTTAAAAATTGTCACAACTTATGACTGTAATTACAGACTCAATTACAGTCGTAAGTCAAGGACGATCGATACCTGTAGTTGATCTCTTAATTGCTGTGTTTTTTAGGTTTATTTTTATGAAACGTTTTTAACATTTGGGTCAAGTTTTGGTGTTAAGTGTTTGGGTCTGGAAAATTGTGGGAAATTGGCAGGTCCTAATAAACCCCAAAGTGGTCATCGTAGAAGGGAAAGGAAAGGAAACAGTTCAGTTGCCTTTTGGGCACAAGGGAAGCACCATTGAGGAAGCCATGGCCTGGATGACTGAGAGTCTCCACAGACAAACAAAAATAAATATCTATGGAAATTCTCGATCATCCAGGTCATAGTTATCCCAAAGGTGCTTTTTCACGAGGCAACTGGACTTTCTTGTTTTTCTTCAAAGACGTTTCGCTTCTCATCCAAGAAGCTTCTTCAGCTCTGACTGGATCCCCCACCATTCAGTCAGATCCCCCACCATTCAGTCAGGATCCCCCACCATTCAGTCAGGAAGCTTCTTGGATGAGAAGCGAAACGTCTCAAACGTCTTCAAAGGAAAATC